ATGATTAACTTGGCAATTATACTGTCTTTTGAATGAATGTTCACTTATGAACAATTTAGCAATTTGAATACAGAAGGTCTTGTAAATCATTTTTAAGCAGTGTATGAGTTGGCAATGTAAGATCATAATCTGTGATTAATCTTCCTGGCTGTCTGTTGCCCTACCGCTCTCTACAGGTTCAGCCTGAATCTTTTCTATGGGGACGACATCAATTCTGACATAGCCTTCCACTTCAACCCCCGATTTGATTCCAATTTGGTGGTGTTGAACTCCCGGCAAAATGGTGGCTGGGCCAATGAGAAGAGGCCAAGTGGGATGCCCTTCCAAAAAGGAGAGGACTTTGAAGTGGTCTTTAATGTCACCACAGTGGGCTACCAGGTGAGACAGAGCAGGACTCTATTATATCAAGTATATGTGTATTTGTACTATTTGTACTATTGTATATACAGTGCACTGCATGCAGGAGGTAAGGGTATTATTTACAGAGATGTAATACATCCTGACTACAAAGGAATGTACCAATTATGGATATTTGTGGTATTCAGTTAAAAGATTAATTACAGCTGTTCTTGACTCTCGCCATTCTGCTTGGGTCTTGCAGGTGAACGTAAATGGCAACGAGTTCTGTAAGTTCAAGCACCGCTTGTCTGCAGAGAAAGTGTACACCATAAAGGTCCTTGGCGATGTTTCAGTGCAGACCATTAATATTATCAAGGTGAGTTGGAAAAGATTGCATTCCACTTTTAACCCGTTCGGTGCCAAGTTTTTTTCTTCGGCGTTGGCACGGGGTTGGTTCTCTAATCGTAGCACACATTGCATTAAGACGAAAGCGGCGCGTTTTACTGCCGATGGCTAATTTTTATTCATTGGAAAACCGCTCCCACCTGGTGTTAGAAATTGGAGCAATCAAAACCCGAGTTAACTCGGATGTGGCACTGAGACAGTAATCTTCTACCCCGAGTATACTCGGGTGTGGCACTGAACGGGTTAACCCCATAAGACCTACAGACTCATATATGGGACCATCAAATGTATCTGCTATATTCAAACCTGTGGAACTTCAGGCTTAGTTTAAATTTTGGTAAAATTTTTGGTAAATTTTGGTAAACAATCCCAAATATGTCCTGCTGAATTACGGGGAAAAGTATATAATATGATGTACAAGATATAGATATTTTTGGTTTGATGTATAGCTGTGGCCATAAAGACATGGCATCCTGGGTTTGAATATTTCTTTCAATATTAGTGTGATGTAGCTTCAAGGAAGCAATGCAACTAGCAGATTCAGAATATACAGACTATAGATAGATAGTCGTTTATTTAAGTCTCACTTCACATAGGCCAGGGGTGTCCAATCTTATCCATAAAGGGCCGGTGTAGGTGTAGATCTTTGTTTTAGCCCAGTGCCCCAACACCTGATCCCACTAATTAACTGATCAAGAGTTTTAATCAGGACCTTGAGTAGAATCAGGTGTATTAGTGTTGGGCTGTGACAAAAAACAGCACCCATGCTGGCCGTTTGTGGATTCGATCGGACACCCCTGACATATACCAAATATAATGGTACATAGAAAATACATGACAGTAAAAAAAAAAAAAAAAAACATAAATATATATATATATTTATACCATGGTCTGGGTGAATACTCTTTTCTGATTGGCTGGCAGGTATTGATTAAAACCGTGGAACTGCACAGGTATTTCGGCCTATGGTAGTTTCACCGTTCAAAATTCATCCGCCAGCCAACCTATAACCGTAGCAACGTTAGAGCACTGGCATTTGGCTGAGTATAATAGAAACCAAGTTGCTCATTTATCTACGGTAAATTTGGCGGCTTCAGATAAGTTACGTCCTGTGGGGTGGTTAACTATAGGTGCTCCAGCGATAATGACCGTAAATATTAAAGCAGCAAAGTAATTGCGCTTTATTCATTAAACGACAGTAATTGCGTACAGTTACAAAGGAAGCTAATTTGTCCACTTCATGTATCAGCAACTGTAGACAGTTCGCTAGCTACGTGCTGTGACAACAGACTGATTTCAGCTCGCTGGCTCTATGGAAACCGTCATAAGTTCATTGTAATTAGCAGCAAGTTAGCTACAGTCTGCATACTCGCGCATAATGTTGTGTTATGCATACTCTCCGTTTCAGCTGGAATCCCTTACCACATTATTTACTGGAAAAAGGATTTTAGCGTGCGCCAAAAATGCTTTCTCCATGAAGGTAAACTGAACTAAGTTAGCTGGTTCAGTTTAGCTTGGCCTATAGTATTGGCTATGAGAAGGCGCGGCGCCTGTTTAATGATTACCAGCTCGTTTTTTTTAAAGTGCAAAACTTTCACCAAAAATTTCTGAATGCTTTGATTTGACATTGCTGGCAAATGACCATGGTATAAGCGTGATAATCAACTCGTAGGTGTGCATTACACGGTTTTAAGGCACTCCGCTTTGCGTCGGGTGGTTATTCGCCTCCGCGTCTTGCCTTAAAACCGTGCAATGCACACCTACGAGTTGATTATCCCTTACATATATACTGCCCGGCCAAAAAAATTCACCGTTTGGAAATTAATGAACAAATTCTGTAATTGGATCATTATTGCGGTTATTAATATTTTTCAGCTGGCAATAATCATTTTTACCCTGACTGATGAAGCGCGTTGCTACTCATTTCTTAAAAAATCATGTTGGAAGACACATCCCTTGATGGTGGAAAAGATGTTACAGTATTTCAGAACAGGCAAGTTATTGGCCTGTAATTAGCAAAGGAAACCATGAATGACAAAAACAAGTATGAGGAATCATTTTCACAAACAAATTTACCACCACAAAGTCCTGACCTTAAACACATTAAAAGTTATTGGGATGTGCTCAAGAAAGACCACCGAGTGGTTCAACCATTATGTCGAGAAGACAAGATCTCGGCCAAAAATTATGGCATTTCTGATCGAAAATAAATGTTCCGGCATTGCATGTAGTTGCCAAAACAATGACACGACGAATATGCACTGTAATCAAAGCTACAGGGGTTTCAACTAAATATTTGAGTGTGCGACTTTTTTTTTTGGCCGGGCAGTGTATATATATATATATATATATATATATATATATATATGCATATATGTGTGACATTGTCCTACAATATAAAAAAAATGCATTTTCTGACTTAGAGCCGGCTTAAGGGAGAACTTTTGCGAAATATTGGAGTTTTAGCGATTAATCTCACCATGTGCTTTCAGGAATTGATCAGATCTTCTTATGAAGTGTCTGATACATTGAGTCAGTTTTAATTGAGTTGTTTAGCAGGAAAATGTGAATTCTACTAAGCAAGTCTGCATTTCAGGGAGGACAAGATGGCACTCAGGGACAACTAAGTCAAGCAAGGACCATGTTTAACGTAAGTATTCTGGTCTTTCACACAATATGTATGCACATATCGAGGGCTTAGAACCAGACATGTCCTAAATCCTACCATAGCCACATAGCCACTTCTGGTTCTAAGCCCTCGATATATACATCACAGAGCCTTTGTGATTTTACTCAGCAACTCAACCCCCTCCCTTTATTTTATTTCTTATGACCAGTAGAATCACAGCATTGCATCTTTGAAAATTGCAAAGTACGCAAGTGAAGAGATTTTACTGTGTTTGACTGGGTGCATTTAGTGATTTGATCATGCTGATTGACTGTAGAAATCCAGCAGATCTTACACCAGAGTTATAAACCCCTGCAATAGACTAAAGACCATATACTAATCTCAGCACATATGTATCACAGACCATTCCTTATAAGGGGCCCATCTTTGGCGGCATCCGGAAGGGGATGTATCTGTATTTCCGGGGAACCGTTCACGATGATGCAAACAGGTATTGAAAATTGCATAATTTTTTTGTAATTCAAATCTGTTCCAAAGTGAAAGACAACTTTCTTCCAAAATGAACTGCCCCTTTTCTCAGAATTCATTTTCCTATGTTGCCCTATGCAGATTCCACATCAACCTGCAGGTCGCGGACAAGAAAGGCTGCAACAAAGCCTTGCATTTTAACCCCAGATTCAAGCCCCACCAACTGGTGGTGTTCAACAGCTTCCAGAATGGTCATTGGCAGAGAGAGGAGAGGGTCCATGAAACGCCCTTCCGTAAGGGAGAGGACTTCGAGGTGGTCTTCATCGTCACACCAAAGGGCTACCAGGTCAGGAGAATCCTAACTATTTTTGGTGCAAGTATGTGGATTCTTTGCATTATATACGTGTGCATTGCGTCTATTTGCGTGTTTGAGCTTGAGCTTGTGTCCATTCTGTATCAACAAGCACCCTGTTCCTTAAATGAAGGTCCTTTACGGCTGAGAACTGCTAGTTTTCCACCCTTTCTTACCTGGGAGGCAGGTGTGAAGACAGTCAGGGCAATCAGCAGTGCTAATTGTTTGGTGAATTACCCAGGAGGAGAGAAAACCAGGGCTGGATTTGGATTTAAGGTCCAGATTTGAGGATTCCTGACCTAGCACATAATGTGTATTATACTGCATTATGATATACCTTTTTCTTTTGGATGAATACACTGTATAATCAACTGATAATATATCGACAAATTTAAAAAAAAAAAAAAATTATTTTTTTTTAAATTTGGCATCTCCAATCCCACCCAAATCTGGAATGCCCAGTTGGTGAACTATGTACAAGACTTGCTTGTATGCGACCCCTTGCTGCCAATTCAGGAGAGTGTAGACAGTTCGCGGCTCTCCTCCGAAGCACGCGTCTGTAAACCACCGCTTCTTATACACTCATTGGTTGAATCTTCGCAAGTTCAGAGCGAGGGCGGAGGATACCCGGACCTGAACAGGCTTAGAATCTCCCTGACGAGCGCCCGTCTGGCCAACAGGAGGCTCTTGAGCAACGAACAAGGCAACTATTATTTTCCCTTCCCAGCAGTCCCTTCCCAATTTGCAACCCTGTAGCGCAATAGCCAATTGTGTGCTACTCTGAAAAAGCTGCCGACCACTGCCGGTTGGCACGAGGCGGGGATCGAACCCGCAACATGAAAGTCACTTCTGCTTCGCAGCGCAATGCTTTACTGAGTGAGCTATCCGGCAGCTCTCAATTGACAGATTTGACTGCATTGTCAAAAAAAAAAAAAAACATTCAAAGAATTTTCAATAATTGCATTTCTTGACTCCATCTCCTGCAGGTCCTTGTGAATGGTCGTCGCTTCTACATGTTTAAGCACCGCATTCCAGTGGGGCAAGTGGGCACCGTGGCGGTGGCTGGTGACGTCTCAATGGCATCACTCAGCATGATTGGGGTGAGAAATTTCACCATTTATTTATTCACTTTAAAAATGCTTTTCTTCAGAACTTTTGCAGACCCTTTTAAAAGGTCTTGATCTGCAAAATTTACTCCCACAAGTATTTGTTTGTATATTTAAGCCTTTTTACATATTTGTGTTTGAATTTAGGCTTGCCACAGTACCTTCAGATTAACTTTTCTCTTCCTGATCCCATGACTAACTGAGTTTTTGTTTCAGGGTGGACCTGCAGGCATTCAGGCTTTCCCTGGTAGAAGAAAGATGTTGGTTACTGTGAGTAGACTCTGTCCTTTCACTTCACTTGTTAGTATCCTTGTATTACAAGTATTCTACACTCAGTCTCTCACTCATTAACTCAGTCCCTCTGCATTACAACATCATATCCATAGGCGTACTGTTACAATAGAGCAATTGATAATGCCGTCCTTGTCTTTGTGAGCTGCGAGACTTGCTTGCATTTTTACTAAAGATCGTCAAACATTTGGGCTGAATTAGTGGTCAGAGTCATTTGTGTAATCAACTGCATTGATTGACTGATTGAGCCAATTAACAGTGAGACCCTGTGGATCCTACAGATCTTTGGGCATCAGGCTTCCAACCACTACAAATTGCGTTGTAAGAATCTCAGTCTCTGTTTTGCACAGAAAATTCCACACATGGGGCCCATCTTTGGTGGCCTAAGGGCTGGGATGTGTATCTACTTCCGTGGAACGATTCCTCATAATATCAACAGGTGAGATCTTTGGCAGTTGCTGTGGAGGAAACTGAAGGGGCAACATTCCCCTCTGATATTTTGTCCGAGAACGTATTTAGTGGTGTGATGAGGGCGGAAGTGTAAGTGTCGTATACTGTAAATAAACTCCAGAAACTCCCTTTACCATTGGCAACCCCTTGTCGTTAAAAGACACCGAAATTAGGACCATTTTGTAGTATGAACATTTAATACCTTATTATGTCTCTTTATTGAATCAGCAATTTTACTTTCCCTGCAGATTCGCCATCAACCTGCAGTATGGTCAAATGATAGGCAGTGACGTAGCCTTACACTTCAACCCCCGGTTCAAGCCCCATGAGGTGGTGGTGTTCAACACCTTCAAGAACGGCAGCTGGGAAAATGAGGAGAGGCCCGGTGAGATGCCCTTCCGCAAGGGAGAGGACTTCGAACTGGTCTTCTTCATCACTGCAGAGGGCTACCAGGTCAGAAATACAGTAGTTATTCGCTTGTTAGTGAGTGTGCATTTGAAGCTATGGCTTTTATATGTTCACTCTGTTTATGTATGTGTGTTAATGTGTGGATGGGTGGATTTGCGTAGTGTACATGGACAATTCTTCTTTAATGCAAAAGATTATTTTTTGGGGTAGTGCACAGTGTTCACCCAGTAGACTGATTTATTTGGGAAAATAACTTGTATTACAAGAGCCCACATTCATGACTCCCATACTTCTTTTGTGACTCCTGCAGGTGAACGTGAACGGTCGTCAGTTCCACTTGTTCAAGCACCGTATGCCGGTGGAACATGTGGGTGCCCTTAAGATTGCTGGAGATATCTCCATGAAGACAGTTAACATGATTGGGGTGAGACAGCAGCGCGAACTTCACATTCAAATTCAGGCGTTAGCTTCCAAGGCACTTAAATCCTGTATCAACTGTAGTTTGATCAGCTCTTTGCTCTTTGATATTTAAATTGATCTTTCCACCTTTTTTACTCACATTGTTTATGATTATATTTGGTTTCCACTGATCCATTTGTCAGCATGATTGAATTAGGAGGTGCAAGTTTTTGTTTCCCTTCATCCCCAACTCACATTTTTGTTTCAGGGAGCACATGGAGACAAACATGCTCACCCAGGTCTTGGAAAGATGATAGTCACAGTGAGTGCGCTGGCCTCACACTAAACACACAAACAGTACACAAATAGTCTCTCTGTGTTTCTACTCACCGCCAACTTACTTCAACACTGTCCACAGCACTGGTGCTGTAGAGCCACATTCTGAACTGGTTTCAGTTATTGCCTTAAAATTGTCTTTGAGCATAAAGTGAATCTGTTGACTTGGATTACATCCCTGATCTACTGCTTTGTAGGTGCTAGATACAAGAGTTTTGTGGAAATGGAGAATTTAAAAATACCGTAATGAGCTTCTGGAAAGGGTCAGAGTGCAAGCATTTATTTTCCAACAAAGATAATATCGATTAGGATTTTTAACAATTTTCTCATCTTTTCTATCGGGTCCGAGATGAGTTCTTTGTTTATTTTTGTCTGTAACAGTAACAGTGTGACTGAGCCAGCAGCATTATAATGTTGAAACCATATTTATCTGTGCAGCAGGATTCCTGTGGTTGCCAGTTTGCTGGCTGCTCAGTGAGGAAGAATTTTTGCATTCAGTATATGCCATGGTTCTAGCCCAGTTGAATGCCCTGCATAATCAAGACTCGTCTGGTGAACTATCTTGCTGGTTACCAAATTTATTGCCACAACACTGAAAGCAAAGCTTGCATTCTGAATAAATATTTGCAATAAATTTGCTACATTGCCCAAGATTAGCTGATTAGCATTGATAAAGTTACCTGAATTTTGAAACACTGCTGAACTAAGTAACCTAGTTAAATCTTTATAGCTAATTCATTGCTACATGTTGCAAACTATACTTTCAAACTCATAACTTAACGACAAAAAAAAACCACAAAAAAATTGATCACTTGACGTAGTCCCCTTTTCACTTTCATTTCACTTCATGTAACCTCGACTATACTGAAATGTTGATAAAGCAACATAACCTGGCAACCCGCTGAGGGGCTGTTTCTTCAAGCAGTTCTGGACTGCAGCTCTCCTCAGACACACTAGGTGGGGGTGAAACATTCCAAAATTCGCCGAAGCTTGTATCTAGCGCCTCTAAGAGGTTGATCAATGTAATGCTGATTTACCGTGAAACCCATTAGACCCCGCAGCTCTCCAACACCCAGGTTCTGAACCACTGCAAACTAGCTGAAATGCTTTATATTAATGCTAGCGTGGTTGTTGCGCAGAAAATTCCACACGTGGGGCCTGTCTACGGTGGCTTGCGGCCAGGGATGTGTCTGTTCTTCAAGGGAACTGTCCCCCAAGACATCAAAAGGTAAGTGGTCTTTTTTTCTTGGTCAGTCAACCTCGTCTTGCTTTCAAGGTCAGTCTCCATGGTGATAAAGCCAAAACGTATTAATTGATGTCTTTTCTAAATTTTTGATCTTCACTTCAACCCCCAATAAATTCTTAATTTTCAGTTTGTCCAATCCTCTCTATTTATTGAAATAAAGGATTGAGACAGATTTTTAGAGATCAAAGTTTTGCCTGTTGAGCCAGTTCATTCCGTGATGAATCTTCCTGGTTCTTAATCATTACTGACGGACAATGGGGGCACCAGTGGTTGGCGTCAGTAATTAGAATGCAAGTTAAGCCATTTATTTACATATTTTTGCGTTCTGGGAGCAAAAATGAGGGCAACCCTTTTAAAAAGACTGTAAGAGCTGAAAATCTTATCTGGTTGCTCTCAAGAGTCTGCCATACAACTTTCCTGTCACTGTCACCTTTGTTAAATTGGTGTTTTCATTTTTTTTTCTGCAGATTCCACATCAACCTGCAGTTCGGGCAGACAAAGGGCTGTGACAAGGCCTTACACTTCAACCCACGGTTCGAGCCCCATGAGGTGGTGGTGTTCAACTCTTTCCGCAAGGGCAGCTGGGAAAATGAGGAGAGGCCCAGCGAGATGCCCTTCGCTAAGGGAGAGGACTTTGAGCTGGTCTTCTTCATCACACCAGAGGGTTACCAGGTCAGAATGACAGGAACTGTGTATGAATGTATCCACGTGTTGAAAGTAGTGAATTTGTTACTGTCTTTCTCATCTTTCTAACTTCCTCTGTGGCTTCCACAGGTCAATGTGAATGGTCGCCAGTTCCACTTGTTTAAGCATCGCATGCCAGTAGAGCAAGTCAATGCCGTGAAAATCGCAGGAGATGTTTCCATGCAGACTGTCAACATGACCGCGGTGAGTAGGGGCTGCATGCATTTTAATTCAAAAGTTTCGCCTTTTTTTGTTTTAAGGCTTTGTACTCATATTTTCGCATATGCAAGAAAATTTAAGTAGTGCATATTTTTTTGTGCCTCTTCTCACCCATATCTGAAATTATTTCAGGGAGGACACAAGGACACGGAAGAAAAACCGAAGCAAGAAGGGCCGTTGGTCAGTGTGAATATGCGAGCCTCTTACGAAATGCACAGAACCATATATATTGAATACAATATGTATACTGGGGCATTTTAGCTGTCAGACAGACATGCGCGGGCGCGCACACACACACACACACACACACACACACACACACACACACACACACACACACACACACACACACACACACACATACACACACACACACACACACTTGTCTGCTTTCCTACACATTGGCTGTGCTGCTACATCACTCATAACCTTCATCTCTTCTCCTGTGTTCTTTGGCAAAAGGCTGACTTTTGAGCACATGGTTAAACATTTTGCCTTAAACTTATCAATCCTTTTTGACCAAATTAATTACATGACTTCACTTCTAATCCACTGTTGACAACTTGTTTGATCGATTGATAGCTAATTTACATTGTAACCATGCAGGCTCTACAGCTCTCTGAAGTTGTGAACTGCCGTAACAAGCTGCTTTGTACAAATGTCATTGTTTCTGTTGTGCAGACAATCCCTCATTCGCAGTCGATCAAAGGTGGCCTGAGGAAGGGGATGTATCTGTACTTCAAGGGTACTGT